CCCTAAGACTATTTGGAGAACAGATCAAAAAAGCAAATGTCTTTGGCTGGGTAGCTAACAGCAAATAAAGATCATATGTGCAGCAACAGCACAACAGAGATCACCTTGTGTGTTTCAGGCTCATCGCAGATTCCAAGCTGAGCATCCTTCAAGATTAATGAAATGTAATGGACCCAAAGTCAGCTTGTGCTCACATTATTGCTCTGCAGTAGACCAGACTCATCCCAACAACATAAATGAAAAAAGAATGAACGTCATTGGTTTTTCTCTGTTCTTTTCTCTGTTTTCTCTGTGCCTCTGAACCATGGTCTTAGTCTGCCCCAGGCTGGGGGTAGGGGGCGTGTAGGAAGGCTGAGACTAAAGATGGGTTTCCATAAGCCTATTTGCACTCAGTAAGCACTTAGAGCATGTGTAACTTCAGCAGTGAGTGGTGAAGAGGCCTTTAGACCTGCTAGGGCAATCGGAGGCCACAGTAGCCTCAAGGATAAGACATGGCTGCTTTTTATAATTTACCAAAATACCATCTTGCAGAGATGCTAATATATTAATATCTTAATGGCTTCTAATGGTACTGCAAATGGATGGGGAAACCGGGAACAATCCTGCCTTGGGGTGTGCTGGCCAGGCAACTTTTCAAATATATGAGCACATTGTGCCTTGACCACTCACGCATCAATTAGCAGCCCAGAGGTCTGTCCAGGCAACCCCGAGTGGGATAACATGGCTTCCCAGACAGCATGTAGTGGGAATAGCATTATTTCTGGTTGTTGCCAAAGACCAAAAAGTGGAACAGAACAGAAATAGTAGGCAGTGATAACTGAAAACATGTTAGAGGACATTCTGCCATAGAAAGAGCCAAGGACTCAATAGCTCCATGTGTGGCCTGCTCAGACTAAGCTCTGCAGTCAGGTGGGTTTGCATGGGCTTAGCTGATGGAACAGTGGTGGGGAGACTGGGGCAGGGTAGGGGACAGCTGCATCACTTCGAGGCTCCAAGTAGAACCTTAGACCTCACTTTCTTCATTTGAGGCAGATCATTTCCAAACCTGGCTGCTTGACCATCGCTTGTGCCATACTTGTTTGAATGCGGATTCCTGGACTCCAGCCCCAAAGGTTCTGATCCATCAGGTATGGGGGTATGCCCAGGAATCTGTATTTCTGTCAGGTGTTCCTGGTGATCCCGGAGCAGGGGACCCAAGGACCCACGTGGGGGAATGACAGCTCTAGCACCCGGTCTCCGTGTATCATCATCAATCACTGAGAATCGGTTGAGTCCCAGATGAGGAACTAGGGTAACACCCGGTGTGTTCCTGGGCTCCCACCTGACACACTCCACGTCCTGGGGACGTGTCTCTGAGCTCTGCCTCCTAGCCCCTCCAACCCTTCTTGTAGCACACACACTGCACACCAGTTCAACTCAGTAAATGTTTATTAGACACTGATGACAGGCGAGGTACAGTACCAGGAGCTGTGGGGTACAGAGGTAAGAAGTCTAGGCTCCACCCTCAAGAGGCTTACAGTCTAGTGGGGAGAGAGAAACACTCACAGGTAATAAAAATACAAGGCAGAAGTGGGGCGCTGTGGTGGAGGTGAACACAGAGCGAGAGAAAGGAGCAGGGAAAGGCCAGGTAGACCTCGGCCCATCAGATGCTTACTGCAGGGAGCAGCACCCCACCTGGCCCTGGGAGGTGGGGAAGATTCACACAGTGGAACTAGAGAGCAAAGGACACTTCAGGTGAGGTACAGCGTGGGGAGGTGCAATGAGTGTTCCGAGAACAGAGGTTCTGCCTTGACCAGAACATGGGATGCCAAAAGAGTAACAGGAAGAGGGAAGCAGGGGAAGGGGGTTGAGGCCAGACGGTGGAGGAGATGTGACTGCATTCTATAGGCACTGGTGGGCCATTGAAGGTTTCTCAGCAAGGGAGTGACCCAACCTCATGTCCTCAATTCTGTGAGTTGACACATATTGTAACTTAGCTTTTTTCCTTTTGGTTAATCTTACCTTACCAACTCATATCCTCTCTTGCTCTCAAAGCAGAAACCAACCTGGGCTCTGTGGCCACATACACAGTTGACCTTTGAACAACCCAGATTTGTACTGTGAGCAGCCACTTACATGTGGATTTTTCTCAACCAAACACAGATTGAAAACACAGTCTTTGTGGTGCAGAAGCCATGTATATGGAGGGCTGACTTTTCGTATGCCACCTACACAGGTCCCGCGGGGCCAGCTGTGGGACTTGTATAGCTAGTTTGGGCACCTCCAGGAGTCATTCCTGGAACCAACCCCCTGTGCATACTATGGGACAACTTTACTTGGGAACAGTGCCCTTAACTAGGAAAACTCTGAGCTCACCTAACAGCTTTCTACTACCTGGGCAGAAAAGGAAGTGAGGCTTTCCAGAACTTTGAGAGTAAGGGGCAGGGCACAAGGAAGGCACTCAGTGAACTTCTGCGTCTAAGCGCAGCAAGGATAAGCTGTGAAAGAAACGGTGGAGAGATGCGAGCGCTGTGATGAGCATCGTCCAGACTAAACCATCTCCAGTGGGACTTGGGGTACAACCCACCCTCCCTCCAAACCCCAGGGAGGGAGGACCCTGCAGGCTGACCCACCGGCATCAGGAGACGGGGTTTCTAAGTGCTACACAAAGAAGGGTCTTGGCTACAGAGGATACCAGGATTCCACCTAACTGCCCAATGAGGAAGGAGAATGGCGCCCACCCCCACCTGGTCCACCCCAGCTGGAGAAGGGATGCGAGGCCACTGCTGTCCAGGTGGACACGGCGATGCTGGTCAGCGAGGGCTCCCCCAGAACCTCCATGCCAGCCGAAGTGGGGGTTTGGGAAGAGAGCACAGAGGCGGGAGAGGTCACAGCTGGGTTTCCGAGGAGGAACGCTCCCGGGGTGCTGGCGTGCACCTCGGCACCCGGCCCTACCGGGCCCCCGCCACCGTTGCTGATGGTCACCAGGCACGGATAGGGGCTGCAGAGACAGAGAGAGAGGAGGGGAACGTTGGATGGCCCCTGACAAGCGCTTACACGGTGCTGAGAAGGGCGCAGGTTGGAAGAGGGTGCCTGGCCACTGCTTCATTTCTAGCTCTGCACAGATCAGCTCCACTTCTGCAGAAGAGCCAACAGAGGCGGGGAGACACTCTGAAATGAGGATAAAGGTAGGCGTCCTGAGACCTGGATGCTGGAGCTGACCCTGCCAATAGCAACTGACACAGTTGCATTTCTCTGGTGTCCCTTGTAGACTGTACAACGGACAAGGCAGGGATTTGGGCCGTGTGATCCACGCATGCGCTCCCTTGCTGGCCCAGGGAAGCCCCGTGGCACCATCAGCAGCCTATGGTGCTGTCAGAAGACCTGGGTGTGAGTCCCAGCTCTACCACTTACTAGTTCTGTGACCTTGGCCAAATTATATAATATCTCCGGGTGTCATTTTTCTCATTTCAAGATTTAGAGTGATAATTGTACATATCTTACAGACATGGTTATGAAGATTAAATGAAATGAGTAAACAGTGCCTAGCAGATAGCACTCTGTAAATGGTTATAATGAAGTCGTCTATTCCAGGTCTCCTGTCAGCTCCAGTCCCTGGCAGAAAGGCTAGGGACTCGGACCACTTTCATTGCCCTCTCTGTTCTACAGCACTGGTTCACAAGCTTGGCTGCGCATTGCACCACTTAATGAATTTTAAAAACTAATACTGGTGCCTGGGTCCCACCGCACAGAGATTCTGATTTAACTGGTCTGGCGTGCAGTCTGACCTTTGGGATTTTTGAAAGCTTCCCAGGTGACGGTAATGTTTAACAAAGCTTTTGTGTTCATACAGAACTCAATGCATAGGACTGCTGAGATTTTTATTCTTTGTTTCACACTAAGTCTTCAAAATCCTGTGTGTGCATTATACGCATAGCACATCTCAGTTTGGACCAGCCATATTTCCAGTGGCTACTGCATTGGCTAGCTCAGCACTAGACCCTGGCAGGCCATAAGGACATCAGCAACACCTGGGAGCTTGTTAGAACTGCAGACTCGCATGACCCACCCAGACCTACTAATCAGAGTCTGCATTTTAACAACATCCCCGGGTGATTCCAGCACATGAAAGTGTAAGATCCACTGCTGAAAGACTGAAGGTCATCTCATTCTCCTCACTGCCTTTGGACACACAAATCTCAAGTCATCTGAAATGTCCCCGAGCCCCATATTTTAATTTCGAGTCCCTTTAGGACCGTCTCAAAATTCTGCACATCCATACTAAATGGAATAGGTGCCATTTACAAAGCATGTTACTGCATTTTCTTATCTTGATGCTGTCTGTAACCCTATGGAGCAGCTCCTACTGTTTCCACGTTACAGATGAGAAATCCAAAACACAGTAAGGTGAAAAAAATTGCCCAAAGTCAGAACAGGAGGTAGAACTGGTAGGCTCAAACCCATGTCTGTCAGACAGCAAGATGCCTTCTGTGTCCCCTTCCCTCTACCCATCTACAGAGATTTTCAGAAGTCAGAATGAAATGCAGATCTCTGGTGGGAAGAGTATACCATAGGTCCTACGTCCACTTAGCTCTCTCCCCAGGCCTGTGGGCCAGGCTCTCACTGTCCTCCTTATAGGACAGGAGGCTTGTGAGAACATGGAAAACCAAAGGTCTTGAGTTCTCAGGACATATTTACACTTTTCCTCTTCAATTCCCCAATAGTCAGTATCCATTTGCCACCACCACAGTTTAAAATATTTTTTGATGTCTTTTCCCTTTGAAAATACACAATGCCAAATCTACAAAAGAAAGAGTACACGACTGAACAGGCCAGTGTTCTGCCACCACCTCTGTTCCATTCTGTCGTCACCTTCACTTCCTAGGGGCACAAAGGATCAGACCAACCCACCCTAAGAAAAGGAATGAACTTGAGTCCCCAGTGCTGAAGTAACCCCCAAGACCAATGAATAAGTTGCAGGTGTTGATCTTACCTTGGCCCTGGATTGACCGGTCCGTTGGTATGGGGTACAGACAGGATGCTGGCATGGGGGGTGGAGGACAAGGAAGTCCAGCCATCGGGTCCCGAGAAAACTTGCAGATTATTGCTTGAGCTTTCTATCAAATTCACTTAGGGGACATAACAAGAGTTGAGTTGATGGCACAGGTACAGCACATAAACATGGTGACCAATGACATCACCCTAAGGGGAAATACAACCGTGGCTTGTCCTCCAGGCACCCACAGTTCATTAGCACTTTCCCAGGGAAACAAAAAAAGAGGAAAGCGCTTAGGTTTATTGAATGGCAAGCATATGTCAGATACCATGCGTGGTTTAGTCTTCACAACAAGTTCCCACCTTTATTTTATAGAGTAGGCTCAGAGAGGCAGGATGATCTGCCCTGTGTGACACAAAGCTGTCTATCTCATTTCCCCACCTGCCCTTTCCTTCAAGAAAAGAGCTTAGCAGCCTCCCCTCAAGACAAGCCTAAGGTACCAGCATGCCAGAGGAGAGTTCTGAGCTCCAGGACCTTATTCTTCTCATCAGTCCCAAGTAGATTTATAGGGCCCAACAATAGTGTCTTCTCACAGAAAGAAAAACTGGATGATCTCACTTGTGTGTGGAATCTAAGAATGAAAGTTGAATACACAGAAGCCGACAGGGGTAAAGAGGTGGGTGAAATGAGATTTTAGTCAAAGTATAAAAAGTTGTAGTTACGTAGGCTGAGTAAGTCTGGAGCATGAATCCATAGCAC